GGGCACTCCTTAAACTTATGTTTATTGGTGCACTGGGTGTACCTTTGCTTGTGATCAGTGGTTCCCAACCTTTTCTAGGATGCGGAACACTTTTGTGAGCAATTTTCTTTAGCGGAACACTTAGTTAAGTTAATATGAAATACATAAGCTTGTCATCAGTTATTTTATTAGAATTGAGCAGTTATAATTTAAAATCTCTACTCATATTATTAACGCCAATTTTAGGACAGAAAAAAACATACCTAAATAACTTTAATAGGAAACTTGTGCCTGATGTTTTTTACATATTTTTTTTCTATATTGGGACGCATATAAGACAATGCCACCCTTATTTCTTCCTCTAAATTTGTCAGTCTTTCCTTTTTTAGATTTTCTATTGGTTAATGTGCAAAATCCAAGTTCACATAAATATGAAGTTGAAAAAAATAGTAAAATTTTTAATGGCTTTTATTTATATCAGTGGATATTCTTGTTGGACCGATATCCAGAATTCATCAAGATTCGTTTCAGCGTGTTTGATTTTCAAGGAGCAGTCATATGACAAGGATATAAGCTCCTCTTCCTCTGAGACATTAAATTCAGAATTATTATATAATTCTTTTGAAATAAATGGATTCCTAATCCAGTAATATTTGTCCGTGTCGAGAGAAGAAAATATTTTCTTACGTCGTTTTCTAATATTGCTAAATGTTCTGATATCAAGGAAACAATATCGATATTATTATGTATGGAAGGAAACATACTGAGATTATTTTCCTCTACTCTTTTTTTTTTTTCCAAAGAATGATCTTCTTGTGGAAAGCTGATAGTTTGTCCGTTGATGTTAAGATGTTTTCCTGTACACCTTGCATGGTAGTATTCACAATGTTCAAATAATTAAATATGTCCGTTAAATATCCAAGTTTGGCACACCACATATCATTTTTAAAATTTTCTGAAAAGCACATATTTTCTTGTTCGAAGAAAACTATCAATTCTTTTTTCAGTTCCAGTATACGAAAAAGCATTTTTTCCTCGAGAAAGCCACCTGATTTCTGTATGAAAAATTAACCCTTCATATTTTGCTTCCATCATTGCACACAGTTGTTTAAAAATTCGGGATTTCAACGGTCTCGCCTTTATATAATTTTCCATATTAACAACGCTAGTAAGAACATCTTTTAATTCTTCAGGTAATGTTTTTGCAATAAGCAATTCCCTTTGCAAATGTCACAAATCCCTTGACTGAGCCTGTCATTGATGGAGCTCCATCAGTGTAGATTTCCACGCATTGTTCCAAATTCAAATTCAAACGTTCAAAATAAGAATTGATAGCATTATAAATGGCTTCTTCACTCATTCTTTCTAGTAACTCTCTGCAACACAAAAATTCATGGATACATTCGATTTGTTAAAGAAAATAGAATAGTCAAAGTAAAATGGCTTTTCCACTAGTATCTGTTGATTCGTCAATTTGAAGAGCGAAAGATGTATTGTGAAGTTTACTTGCAAGTCGAATACGATTGTANACTTCCTCGTCTCTCTCCTCACCTCTACTCCGAATCCAAGCGCTCACACGCTACCGCTCGCGTGACGGAACGTCGCGATTTCCGAGTCCTGCGAGACTCGGTGGTGTCAGATTCAGGTCTCCTGACGTGGTGTCGAAGAGACACCGACCCTACGGTCACAAATAGTTGAATACTCTAGTGGCTGAATTAAATTACTACAAGTGTCTGCAGAGAGAAACTATTACACAGTTACACTTGAACAAAGAAACAATAAATTGACTGACTCCCCATTATCTAAATTTCTGCAACTTTTTGTTTGTTCCAAGAGTAAGAAGATTCTACGGACAATGACTGTAATCAAATTCTGATCTAAATTGCAACAATAAGTATGTTTAACATCATGCCTTAAAATTAATACAGTATTTTAAAGATGGATTGAATCAAAAAATTTATTAGATAGAAATTATATTGAAAAATAGCAAAAGGCAATACAATATAATTCAATTCATCATAATTAATAAAAATATAATTTATAGTTACTTTTTAATGACTTTCTTCAATTAATGAATTTAAGACGTAGGACTATATTTTAATCAATATTACATTCTTTGCTTAAATATTTAAGAATTTCTTGCATCAAAATTATATTAAAAAACAAAATGGTAACTTTAATATGGATTAATTTTCAACTGCTTTAAATATTTCATATCCATTATGAGAAATAAATGCATATGCATTTGATAATACCGATATAATAAGATTTTCTTATTATATAATAATATAGTGTTTATAGAATTTTTTATTTAAATTTTGTATATGCTTTATTTTTAATTATGAAAATTAAAATTTTATATAATTTTATCCGAAAACTTCATATTTTCATATTGTCAGAAGGCAAATTTGTTTCCTTTTTTATGTAATAAAAGGTAGTCATGTCAGAAACTGCTCCAGCAATCATATTAATGAAAAATACATACCAATTACCTTCAGGGACTTTAGATATGATTTGGTCTGCAACTTCTGCAGAGTTTGTAGCTATCAATTCTTTCAATAAATTTATAGGAACTTTACGCTTTTTATATTTTTCAGCAACATCAATCAATTTCTTCATATATTCCTATAATTTATCAAATTATTTCACTACAATTCATTAAAAAGTTAATTTTTAAATATGCATATTATTTAAATATATAGGCCTAACTGAAAAAATAAATATGTTACGTTTCATTTAAATTTTTTGTAAAATTGATGAAGTAAACTTTCGATTTTTATAGTCATATTTGTACTATATTACCTTAATTTCGTGCAGATAACGGCTTATCCGTGTTTTAAAAAACAATTTTAAAGGGTGCCGGTTAAAGCCTATGTCGATTTTAAATTGCATTTACGAAATCGTCAAACAGCTTTTTCTTTGTCTAAAATTTTCAAGAACGGCTGTAGAAAACGTGAAAAATCCTTTTCAGACATATGGCATCAGGATTTTTCTGGAAACTATCAGACATCTGTATGTGTTCTTCAGATTTCCGTCATTTTCCCTATGTTCAACCCATGATTTAATTGATATCATTAAGCACTTCTATTTGAATTTGTATCTAGAAAGCTGATAAATGTATGGTTAATTATTCCCTATGTATATAATGGAAACATTTCATAAAACTTATGGTTAAAACACGTGACTCGATAGTGTCATCCTAATGAACTGATTATTTTCAACTGATTATAAAGTGATGACAAAATAATTAGGCTATATACATTTAAAACTGTAACCCTAGCTTGAATATGCAAAGTTTAAACACACTAGCCTTGCTTTCAGCAGTTTTTCTAACGAAGTCAAAACTAAAACTGAAGTCTTTTCGTTTATTTGCTTCACTTTTTAAAACTGTATACTGTGAAAACGTGTTTTATATTAATTAATTAGAGCGACATTCGTGTATAATTTATTATTATTATTTAACAACTTCGTTAGAACACAACAGTAAAACAAATCTTCGTGTAAGGTTCTCTAAACAATAATCAATAATTCGACTAACGAAACAGAACGTCAGCATTCTATTGGATAGTCTGACCAAACGTGCACCTAGACATCGTAATGACTGAGTGATGTGATTGGTTTATTTTATACGGGGTGGAGCCAAGACCACTCCTCGAGTCAAGTGCTTACGTTTCATTCGTGTTGGCTTGTTAATGATCCGTTTTCAATCAACCCCGACTAATTTTCTATCCGCAAAAAATGCCTTATCGATCATTCTTGGGATCCCTGGTTTAGACTAAACTTTTATATAATTTAAGTTGGTTTTATAATTGTATTATATTAGTTAAATTAAATTTAACCTTTCATATTCTAAGTTTAACTTACTTTATCAACTTTAATATTAATCTTAAAAGAAATTTATTACTAAAAATATTTAAATTTAACAAGCTAACTCGAATGAAAACATAAGCACATGCGAGGAGTAGTCTTGGCACCATCCCGTACTACTAGACCAATCAAATTTGGTCTAGTAGTACGGGATTACTACTAGACCAAATTTATTGTTTTGACCAACGAAAGGACAAAATTTTTTATCGTCACATCGATTCATTTGTTTTATTTATCAAATAATAATAGCATTAATAAATGTCAAAATATATTCGAAAAATTTAAGTACAGAATGTCTTAAGCCACAGACACAGAGCGAAGGAATGTCATTAATTGGTTCGCTCTCTGTGTCTGTGGTTGCATGAGAGCGAAAATTGTCTGTAGTAACGTTCTTTCTGACAAATTTTCTATATTACACGATTGCATTTTAAACGTGCTTACTTCTCTGTCAGCAGAAAAATATTCGCCACGATTCCAAGCAACGAATTTCTGGAGATGTGAGAAATTTAAACGCGACATCTACGAAGAATATACTTAGTATATTCTTACAATTATAATTTTGAAATGTTCTTTTTGATAAATAAGTGGATGAAACAAGCATAAAAACAATTTGCTGTTATCAACCGCCATATTATTTTAACGATGTTCGTTTGACATTCTTAGGAAATGTTTATAAACCATGTAGTCCAATATTTTGCAAATTTTGATCCCTTCTCCGTTCCGGTGATTGTGGCCAGACAAGTGATTCTAAAAACCACGTAGATTAAGGACCTCCCAAATATACGGTCCATAAATTCTGGGACTGATTTCTTTTTATGGCCATACTAGGGCACTATCTAGTCATTTCCATCTGAACTACTCGTATGTTTTCGTAACCGTTGTCAAAGTGTAGGGGAAATACGGACAAAATGACATACGGTTTTATTAAAGGTTTATAACTCTTTATTGGTAAATCAAATCACTGTCATATTCTACACCAATTATCTTTGGTTCTTTAGCTATGAAATATACTAAACATTTACAATATTAAAATAACAGAAAAAAAAATATTGTTAGTTTAATTGAGATTATCCAAAATTCATTTTGTCCATATACTATGGACAAAATGACACATTACGTAAGAACAAAATGACATACACGTAAAAACTATAACATTACTGACAAAGTTCACAAATGAAACGCTTGGTTCTTTTAGAAACGCAAGAAGCATGAGCCCAACAGAAACAATTTAAGCACCGTAACCAGTCTCCTCCAGGCTTAGATCGGGAAAAAAGATTATCGCAATATATGCGTGGACAGTCTTCTTCATCATCATGAGAGTTATCAGGAAAATTTTCTTCTTCAAATAACTTTTTAGTAATATTTCGTTTCCTTTTCTCTGGCGGAGCTTTGGACACATTTTTCTGATTTAATTGCCTTCATATTAGGAGTAGAAGTTAAAACTAAAGAGGTTTGTCGAATCACGTGATTCGTTGCAAGTTTTTTGTTATGTGAAAGATAATAAGTTTGTAAATAATATGTAAGAAAGGAAATAAAGTTTTATACTAAAATTTCTTTTAAACAATAATGAAAGACTTTGTTTGGAAGACATTTTTGATAATTAATAAAACGTTAAGAGATTAAGGTAAGTTCCTTGACTAAGCTCTTATAGACTAAATAACAGGTATGTCATTATGTCCGTTGTCTATGTATGTCGTTTTGTCCATATAACGTTATAAAAAAACAAAATTATAAAATAAATACAAAGATGTTATTTTTAATGGAAAAAGTTATTTAAGTGCAACAACAAATTC